AGAGGAGGCAGCAACGGTCCTACAAAACAAGCTTTATAGAATATGGATTGGGCCAATAACTGGCAAATGAAGTTTAATACTTATAAATGCAAGGTATAGGTGCCAGGCATAGGAAACGCAAGTATTCCATGGGTGAAACAAATCATTAGTTGCTCCGCTTTTAAACCATTCTAAGATTGTTTCTTATGTGGCTAAATACTGACTGTAAAAAAAAATTAAGTTCTTAAAAATATTAAAAAGGATTTAATTTACCTTTTATATTGAATAACATTACTCATTGAGAACTCTATGGGGATTGGGGCGGTTGAGCTGGCATTAGATGGGACGTGCTAATCTTTGGTTACGAGTCTCTTGTCTCTGGGTGTTTGTTGTGATAATAAGGTTGAGGAGCTATTCTGGCACTCTTTAACTGAATAGTGAAAGAGACCATAGGTTTTGAAAGGCTAAAGCTATTTTTTCTGCCTATCTGTGACAACAGTAAAGGTACTGCCTTGAGCTTCTCTCAGACAACTATCAATTTGTCACAATGGAATCGCAAGACAGCTAAAGGGCAACACAACTCACAGCCCAACTTCCTGTTCCTATCAGTGTGTTCAAAACAGGAGACAGCATTGACATATTTGTAGGCTTGAGGCCGGTGAAGTTGCTGACAGTTGACTATTTGAGGTATGTGCAATATCTCCAGAACTTGTTTCAAGAGAAACAATGAAATTACCTGACAAAGCAGAAGCATTCCTTACACCACTGTTATCTCTGCATAGTGTAAAGTTCCTGTATCCATTTCCCTAGATTTTCCCAAGATTATGTTAACCCTCTGGTGGTTGGGTGCCACTGAACTATCAGCTATTTATATTTGTCCAATCCATTACTTTAAAGTTCAATCACAGTATACCTTTAACAACATAAGCCATGTTTAGTAATTTCCTGAAATCTGAGAGCGAGCAACTTGATAAAGAATAGGTCAAGCAGGGCATAACAGGAGAAAGGCAAGAGGCGAGATCATTCATTCAATAAAATATATTTTTTTAAAAATTCTGTAAAGTGGATTGACAAAATATACACTCAATCCACTTTGCAGTATATTCTGTGAAACGCTTTGAGACGTTTCAATGACGTGATAAGATGCTATATCAAATGCAAGGATTATTATTATTAATTTCACTCCTCATCAATGTCACTCCTTCCTTCCACAGTCCACATGTAGCTTAAACCTATCATAACAATAATAGCAATAATAATAATAGTAATCCTTGCTTTTCACGTCGGGAGGACGTCCCAAAGCTCTTCACAGAACACACTGTAAAGTGAATTGACTGTATATTTGTGGGCGAACGTGGCAGCCAATTGCGCACAGTAATGTCCCACAAACAGTCATAGATGGAAAATGACCAATTTATTATTGTTTTTGGAGGGATTATTATTAGGCTCTGTGTGGAGTAAGGAAATTTGCCCAAGGTTTCGCCCTCTGCCTGGAATTGAACTCGGGTCTCTCGCTTGCAAAGCGTGGGCTCTAACCACTGAGCTGCAGGACTCCTGTATGCGTCCCGCATAAAGAGCGCTCTATAAATGCAAGCTGCTGTTGTTGTATATCACTTATAACAGCGAGAACATCTCAAAAAGTTGTTGTGAAGTGTAGTGACTGTGTATTTGTTGGTAAACTCTGCAGCCAATTTACAATGTTCCGTAAACGGCCATCAAGTAAATGATCAAATGTTCATTTTGAGGATATTGGCCAGGACACAGAGAGAAACTCCCATCTCTTTTTGAATAGAACCATGGAATTTTAAGCATAACACTAAGAGCCAGGCTGACATCTATTATAATAATGATCATTGCATTTGATATAGCGCCTTATCACGTCTTCGAGACGTCTCAAAGCACTTCACAGAATATACTGTAAAGTGAATTGACTGTATATTTTGTGGGTGAAATATATATACATACACACACAGTATATAAAATTTTATATATCTTTATAAAAGATAGATATGCTGAAACAATTTAAAGAGCAAAGAGGTGAAATTTGGTTTGACTCATTGCTACCAATTGGGCGAAAATGCGGCAGCCAATTGCGCACAGCAGTGTTCCACAAACAGTCCTGGATTGAAGCAATCAATTTATTATTGATTTATTTATTTTAAAGAGATTATAGCCCCGGGAAAAGTGATCCACCAATCGACTAACAACTGGGTTCCTACTTACTGCTAGGTAAATAGAGGCGTGTGTATAGTAAGCAAACTTGCTTAAGGTTTCGCCCTGACCAGGAATCGATCCCAGGTCTCTCGCTTGTGAGGCGAGTGCTCCAACTGCTGAGCTACGGTAAATCTAAGGGCTTTACTCCATTTTTAATCTAAGAAGGAAAAATTCTGTGGAATTCCTTCTGGCTTTCACACCCCATTACCAAAAGATCTACTTACTTTATTCAATCTCAGCTCCTTACATTCCATAAACACCAACTCCATAGACTAGCCATAGACAAGCCGCAACAGTGCAGCATTTGTACCATGGAGTACAACACAACTTGCATTTATAAAGCATTCCTCATGCAGCCTAGTGTTCCAGAGAGAGTGAATGATTATCTCTACAGTTATCCCTATAAAATCCCATTGATCTAATTCCAAACCACACATTTTTCAGTATTTTATTTTGAGTTAATTTTCCGTCCCTCCAAAGCCATTCCCTGACTTTTTGTATCAAGTACCATGTAAAATAAAATCTATTCTATGGGAGGTTATTGCCCTGGTGATTTCTTTTTGCTCTCAGCCTTCTACATATGGTATCAACTACAAAGAATAACAGAATGTACAATTTCTTTCCCTACATTGCCTTTTTCATGCCAATGCTTTCCCAAAATCAGGACTGAATAGTGGATAGTGCAGTCAGGCCTCGTTGAAAGTCCCTCAGTGTATCATGGGTCCCTTTATAGCTTGGGTGTATTGTGGACTGGCTGGCTTCCAACGTGTCAAGACAACTTCCTGCACACTAAAAAATGTTTGACTTCTGGGTCATCAATCAGGACATTATCAACGTCACTTCTTGCGCACTAGGCATGCTGTAGATGTCACGTATAAAGTAAACCCAGAACAATACTTTCAGATACGCCAAAGCAGTTGGACAAGCAGCCAAAGTTTCAGGATTGTAAAGGATAATTGTAAGACAGACACCAGAGAGCATTTCTTCACACTAGGGTAATGAACAGCTTGAACAGGTTAGTAGGAATGGTGAAAGAATTTAGAAACTGAATTGTTGACGATTTAATGCTATAATGAGAAGAAATAGGGTAGCTATTCTGGAAGGAAGAAATCAAATGGGCCAGAGGGTCTTCTTCATCCAGCTCCCTCTTGCGAGCTTCCATTTCAGATCAACTAAAAGTCCACGAGCACCATCTGCTGGTTGCATTCATGTGGCATTGTGCTGGAGAAACAGGGCCAGTGCACACAGATGGACATGTATGCCTGAACCATTTCAGTGTAGGTCAGAATGCTGCTCTTGACATAAATACATAGCCATATATTGCTCTCACATCTTCCCATTGTTGAAGCACTCTCATTTCTGAGTCAGAAAGTCATGGATTCAAGTCCTTTATTGGGAATTTGGGATCATATTCTAGGTTAACACTGCAATGGAGTCCTGGGGCACTGCTGCATTGTCAGAGCTACCATACTTTGGATTGAACGCAACACTGAGGCCCCAATGGTGGTAAAGATACTCTGGCACTATTTGAAAATAAAGAGTTTCTACCAGTCTCTTGGATAATAATTCTCCATATAAAATTGGTTATTCATCTCGGAGCTGTTTGTCGCACATAGCTGTTGCAAATTGGCTACTGCTTTCAATACAAAATACACAGTGAAGTGTTTTGATGAAGTGATAGGCACTATATCAAATGCAAGAATTATTATTATTTTCAAGGGGCTGTTAAAGATTGTTAACATCTTGGTTTGTCCAAGGTAATCTTCATATTTTGCTGAAAGAACCAGGTCCGCGACTATCAATGAAATAAGCATTCAGCTCAGTTCTGGGTAGTGTGAGATTTTCACTGGCACCAGTCCATAAACAACAGAATAGACTGCAGCATTAGATATAAAAGCCTATAATTAGTCTGCTAGATCTGTCTTGGTCATGAATCATGATATACTAGAGCAATGGTCAGAGACAATCTGGGAAAATCTGAAGATTTTAAGTAGAATTTTTGAATTTTCCTGGATATCTGTAGTTAATGGAGAGGGGAACCCTCAAGCAGTGGCCAGCAATATTCAGGTTCGTCTGAGTGTCTGATTACAACCAAATGGAAATGTTACTTGTCATAGGATTGTTATTTCACACCTATCAAAACCAGGCAGAAAATCATGCCTCAAAAATAACATTAATGTTTGCCAAACCATGAAAAGATCAGCATGTTTAGCAACTGATGATTGATGGACCACTTATGTAAGAGCATTTCAGAAGTGGACATGAAAGGTTAGCCTTGTAATAGCTTGAGGCTGATGCAAATATTTTCCTTTCAGATTATAGCAGCTCCTCTTTGAAAATCTGCAGCAAGAGATTTTTATATTGCAGCTCCAGAGATTTGAAATTTGACACAAACTGAGGCACTTCACGTTCTGAGGCTCTACCACGTTTATATTGTCAATGCATCTGAACTTCGGATAACATTCCTGCTAGTTCTTTTGGTGATTCCGGTTCAGTCATTTAGACAGTGCAAAAATAAATATCTCATGGGAGCGACGAAGAGGTGTAAATGTTTCTATATGTGTAAAAGTCTGGCAGCATCGCAAAACTTATGCAGCGTCAAGACATCAATAACATATGGAACATTCCTGGGTCCAATACATACATTCTTCATTATGGATTTGGCGTCCTTGCATGTGGAGCCAATGTGAGATTCAATTCCAGATTTTTGGAAATACGACTAGAGCAACATTACATGACAAATTGTCTCCAGAGGATACTCACAATGTAAAAACTGCATAAGAAAACATTTTGGTTTAATTACTCACATTATGAAGCTTCTGCCAGAATTCCTCATCCTCGGGTGAATTCCGGAGACTGGGAGGGATGTACCAAAAGCAGACATTTGTATACTCCGGCTGGGAACACAAACAACATGTAAATGAGGCTGTTACTGCACCATGACTCAATCTATTGACCCAGCAACGAACGTCTGCAATAATTTTAATCTGTTTTTGTAAAACTACAAATAACAGCATTAAATAAAAATGGAAAAATATTTACTTTTAATCATGATATACTTTTCATTCATATTTGTTCTTGGTCTGACACATGCGAAAACCCATCATTATGTTTAAGCGTATCCAAACAGACGGAGTTCCATACATGCTACCTACATGCGGAAATTCTATTTTATATATTGATATTTATATATATTTATTTATTATCCATGCTCTGATGAGATATTAATCTCAAATCCCACCTGCTTGTTCAGGTGGACGTTAACGATCCCATGACTCTATTCGAAAAAAAAGTTTCTCCCAGCGTCTTGGCCAACAATCCCCCAGATAAAGTTTAATTCATTCATGGCCATTGTGGGACATTGTTGTGAACAAATGGGCTGATGTATTCACCTACAAATACACCCGGACTACACAGTAAATCCTATGAAGCATTTTGAGAAATTTGTGGAGTCCTGTAGCTCAGTGGTTAGAGCACTCGCTTTGCAAGCAAGAGACCCGAGTTCAATTCGAGGCAGAGGGCGAAACCTTGGGCAAGTTTCCTTACTCCACACAGAGCCTAATAATAATCCCTCCAAAAAACAAACAATAATTAAATTGGTCATTTTCAATCTATGACTGTTTGTGGGACATTGCTGTGCGCAATTGGCTGCCGCGTTCGCCCACAAATATACAGTCAACTCACTTTACAGTATATTCTGTGAAGCGCTTTGGGACGTCCTCCCGACGTGAAAAGCGCTATATCAAATGCAAGGATTATTATTATTATTTGATTTACATTTTATGACAGGAGGACATCTCAAAGTGTTTTACAGCATGTACGATAAATTGTAGTCACTCGATATTGTGGGTGAACGTGGCAGCCATTTTACGCACAGCAATGTCCCACAAACAGCCATGAAATGAATGACCAATTTTATTCGTGAGTTTATTGGCTAGGACACTGGGAGAAACTTCCTTTTCTTTTTGAATAGTGCCATGGGATCTTTAACGTTATAATAATAATCCTTGGATTTGATATAGCGCTTTTCACGTCGGGAGGACGTCCCAAAGAGCTTCACAGAACACACTGTAAAGTGAATTGACTATATATTTGAGGACGAACGCGGCAGCCAATTGCGCACAGCAATGTCCCACAGACAGTCGTAGATTGAAAATGACCAATTTATTATTGTTCTTGGTTTTGGAGGGATTATTATTAGGCTCTGTGTGGAGTAAGGAAACTTGCCCAAGGTTTCGCCCTGACCTGCCTGGAATTGAACTCAGGTCTCTCGCTTGCAAAGCGAGTGCTCTAACCACTGAGCTACAGGACTCCTCGTTAATCTCCCTGAACAGGCAGATGGGACCTTGGTTTAACATCTCACTTGAAGGACTGCACCTCCAACAAAGCGCCCTTCGTGAGGGGTGCTATATAAAGTTGTTGTTGTTGTTGCAGTGCCCCCAAGCATTGAACTGGAGTATCAGCATAAACTATATGGGTTCCAAATCCCCTCGTGGGGCTTGAACCCACAACCTTCTGACTCAAAGGCAAGGATGCTACCAATCAAGCCAGCCTAATGCACATATGTGGGATATTCTGTACCTCTGCATCACGCCATGAAATGGAACAATCTCACTGTGGTTTAGACCATAAACAGTTTTGGCCATATCAGCTGATTTTATGGCATACTACCCACTGGATTGGAATACAAATAAAATATGGAATCTATCTTGAACTCAGTAAATTCGATGCTGAGTTGAAGAAAGCTTGTTTTATATTAGGAGCAATAACAATTGTAGCACAGAGAGATATCTAAGCCCAGTGTTTGCTGAGAAGTTTTACTGGGGTACCAATGAGCAAGTCACAGAGAAGAGATCTCAGTGGAACCTTGATCACTCTGCTTACCTCCAAAATCAGTTTGAACTCCTTCCTCTTCTTAATCTCATCAGTTAAATACCTGTGATAAGAATAAAATTATTAATTGTTTGTTCCAAGATACCAGGTTCGCCTTTCCATCTTCCGGCCTAATAGATCAACAAAATCATATTGTTCAAATCATATCAGATACATTTTATTTCAAAACAAAGTTTTAAATTTAAAAAGCTTCTGAAAGGAAACGACAGCTGTCTTATCAGAAACAATTCCAACAAAATTGCACCGAATTTACCAAAAGTAAAAAAAAAATTGCAATTGTCCCAGTATCTATCTTTTCAATCAGTCAGAATTATCATAAACAAACTCAAGATATTTCACATGAGGTGCGTTTATTAAAGAGAAAAGGCCAGGTTGGTATGCAAGCATTTCTGGCTGATTTCAAAGCTCTTTCTCTGAACCATTCTATTCCTTCTCCCCTCATTCTTTAAAAACACATTATTTTGCTTGAATCCAAATATGCTTTTAGCCATTCTGCCTCCATTCTTTGGAACTACATCCTAGAGTTCTCCTGCCATGCCCGCGCCCCCCCACCCCCCATCTTTAAAGCCCATCTTAAGACCTTTCATTTCGACTTTTCGTGGTTTTGGTTCTCCTTTCGCAGTTTGCCCTACCCATAGCTCAGGCTCACAGCCAGCTGTGTGAAGCACTCTCAAATGCACTTCCAACTACTGGTTTTAGATACTGTCATATTGTTCCTTCAGATGAGACATTAATCCAATGTCCCATCACCCTGTTCAAAGTGGATGATAAAGATCCCATCACCCTATTGAAAAGAGAATGGAGTTTCTCAACAATCTTTCTGGTCATTCACCTCACAGATATTTGAGGGATTTGGCAGCCATGTTTGCCTACCAAACAGTCACTACACTTATTATTTTTGTACCACAATCAATGGAGATTTCAGATAAGAAAAACTACTGCATCAAAGGTCAGCTACATTATATAATGTCCACTGCCTGGCAATAATCTCCCTTTATAACATAGAAATGTGCAGCATAGAAGGCTGTTTGGCCCATCATATCTTCGCCACTGCTATCTGTTTTTCTAAGCCACCTAAATTAAACTAAGATGGCGCTGAACACTAAACAAATTTAACATTAATTCACAGCTTCAATTTTCCCAATTATAATGGAATCACTTCTGTCTGCTGGAATCTTGTAAACTTGTTTTAAAGACCACATATGTGCATTAGGCTGTCAAAAAGATGTGCTCCTTCTGTCATTTATCACTGAGCCAAATCCCATCCTGAGACCATTGAGCTCATGTATGGAATAAGTAAAATTCCACCATCAGATCAGGATCCAAGTATTAGTACTTCTGTGCCCAAGTACTAAATGCAGCCAATTATTAACTCACTGATTATTATTCATTGACTCATTGTAAGCATGGTTTTAGTGGCAGTTTCTGTCTGTGCACCACACAGTTAAGAGGCATAGCTGTGCCATCACATGATAACTTGATTCACTGTAACACATTTACTTATAACTGTTTAATACTATGCTTTCAGTTGCAATATGAACAACATTCTGAAAATTCAGCAGTGCTGAAAATGCACAAGCGTTGTGTGTAGTCCAGTCACAGCCTTTATGTCCAAGTAGCCCAGAAAATCCCCTGATGGGTTTGTTCAGCACATGTTGGGGGTTGGGCAGAGAATTTTACTCTGACATAATTTATACCTGACATGATTCTATAATTCCATGATAATTTCTCACGCACAACACACCTAAAAATGTATAAACATCACAGAAGTAAGTTTGTTCCGATACCACAAAATACTGTGGGAAAGCATTGTACTACCAACTTGTTTAAAAAAAATTCTGGATTGCATTTACGAAGATTAGCTCATTTCAGCCACTTTACTAAGCAGCCCGTTTCATTGACTCCACAAAACTGGGACAACGTTGAGTTCGTTAAATTGATGTACAGATGTCGATAAGCACACTGTGGTGAACAGATAAAGGAAATACTGCAAATTCAACCATCTGTCTGCTGGTAGCTGGGGAGGCCTGCGTCTCAGGAGAGAGCTGCCACTAATCATCAACAGAACTGAAAGAAGTGATTAGACCCCAAGACTGACTCATGCCCGCACATGTGAGTGGAAAATTCCCCAGTCACAAAGGCAGGTCAGGAGGACAGCGACTGAATAAATCTCAGTCTATATCAGGAGACATCATTACAGACAGTGATTTGCCATTGCAGTAACAATGACCCCAACCACAATGAACCACAGATACATTAAGGAAACTCGCGAGGAAAATGGTGTTTTCGTTTAGCTGTTTTGAGATTGTGAGCAGGGGCTGATGACTCTTATTGTATTAACCTCCTGCTATTTTCTCTCTCGTTTGCACATTAGGCACATTCTTAGTACAGATATATAACATTCATATCACCAGTTGCCCAGCTAATGTACATTTATTGTTGCCTAGCTAATGCACATAACTCCAGTGGTGTCCAAATTTGATGTCCAATTTAGGATCCTTATTTTCAAAACATCTTCATGGAGCTAACATCTCTGCAACAATGTTTAAGCCTTCAGTTAATGCTAACTACAGCACTTCAAGTATGTCAATAAAAAAATCAGTTCTTCTCTATCTGGGAACCCTGTGGAGGGCAGAGAGTTTTAGAGACAAGAGAAATAGAATGAGTATGAAAGATGTGAGTAAGTGTGAGGGGAGAGTACATCTGAGGGAGTGTTGCAGGTGCTGTTCTTCAGATGAGTTGATAAACCAACATCCTGTCTGCCGATTTCAATCTCCTGGCACCATGGAAAAAAGAGAAGAGAGTTTCTCCCTGAATCTTAGCCAACGATCCTCCAAATAAAGATGGTCATTCACTCCATGACTGTTTGTCGGACATTGCTGCATGCAAATTGGTTGCTGCATTTGCCTATAATGCCTACAAAATACACAGTTACTGACTGCACCTTGCAGTAAAAATTCTGTGAAGCTCTTTGAAGCTCTGGAATGTGAACATTACACAACATCCAATGACTGGCTGTCAACATTCTTCATGGCACCAGTGAATAGGAGTGTTTATGTGCGTGTGTATATGTACATGTAAGTGTATATGGTGGGAGATGGAAGGGGCAGAGGTGAGGAAAGAGGATCAAATGCAAGGATATATCTTGAGATTTGTTAATATTGTGCTATATTTCTGCAACTAGTTTAAATTAAATAAATTGCTTATGGACAAATTTTAGAGTATCATGTCCTCTCTCAGATGAAAACAGGTTCAGTTCCGCGGGTTCATCCATGTAACTTGGAGCCCTACAGCCTTGGATATTTAGGAATCTTAATTTGTATGCTGGGTTTGTACCTGTGTCCTGGGGGGTGATCTGATCGCTTTTGAAACCTTGCCACAAAGCTGGACATAAATTGCTAAACCAACAATGCCCATTCCTCTTCAGATCCTTTTAGAGCAGTGGGTGTATATGAAAGATGTGAGAAAATGAGTGTGTGGGGAGAGTGCATAAGAGGGAGCACCGCAGTGTTGCTAAAACATTTTTTTTTAAAAAAAGGTCCCTTTCTGGCAACTCTCAACATGAAAGGTGCTATATAAATGCAATTTGTTGTTGGTGATTGTGGCCAACCAACAAAGTAATCTTAGAAATAATAAAACAGCATAGATTTATGCCATAAATCAAGGAATATTCAATCAAGAAACATGTATTTTGTTGGCCAACTAGAGGTTGGCCATATTATCTTAATAATAAATACTTGCATTTGGTATAGCACCTTATCATGTCGGAAGGAAGTTTCAAAACGCTTCACAGAAATTACTGTATAATGGAGTGACTGGGTATTTGTGAGCGAAAAACAGCAACCAATTGTTCTCAGCAATGTCCCACAAACAGTCACGGACTGAGTGACCATTTTTTTTTTAATTGGGGGATTGTTACCCAGGGCACTGGGAGAAACTCTCTTCTCTTTTCAAAATTCTGCAATAAGATCTTTAACATCCACTTGAACAGGCAATCGGGACCTGGGTTTAATATCTCATCTGAATCTTAGAGGGTCAATGAGGAATTACTCATGAGTGCAGCACTATTAGTCGTACCTGGCAGATGCAAAGGCCCTGTTCACTCTTTCCTCCAAGCCATTGGTCCCAACAGCTTTCCATGTCAGCCAGAATTTAAAAGAATCCGCCCTCCGGCTGCACTGGATGGACTTGTCTCCTTTGTCATATTCAACATCATAGAACTTATCCTTCTGGAAAAGGTACATGGCCTGCGCAGAGTGACATCTACTGATCAGACCCTGAAAAAGAAAAAAAACAAGAATAAATAAATTTATGCAACCAGCTGAATGATAAACAACTTGTATAGCAAATATATTTCATCACACACCAGGTTTTCCCATTAATAATAGTAATAATAATCCTTGCATTTGATATAGCGCCTTATTAGGTCTTCTAAACGTCTCAAAGGGCTTCACGGAATATATTGTAAAGTGAATTGATTGTATATATATTTATGGGCAAAATAACAGCTTATCACATATTCAACATGTCTCAAAGTGTTTCACAGGACTTTACTGTGCAGAGACTGTGTAGTTGTAAGCGAACATGGCAGCCAATTTAAACAAAGCAATGTCCCACAAACAGCCATAAAGTGAATGACCATTTTTATTTCAGAAGATTGTTGGGCTTGTTTTGTTGGTTTGGACACAAGGAGAAACCTTCACTTTCCGATTATTTCCATGGGATCTTTGACGTCCACCTGAACAGGCAGTTTAATGTCTCATTCGAAGGAGAGCACTTCCTACACTGGAGTGTCAGTTTAGGCATGTGAGTTCAAAAATGGATAGCCTGAAAGTACTTGATGCGTTGCTATATATATATATATATATATATATATATGTATATATATACATTATATATATTATACACACACACTATGTATAGAAGAAAAAAATAAGGAGAAGAAAAACATTGAAAACTAGATTAAAACAGAAAATAATTCATTTTGTAATATTTGGGACATCTTAGTGCAATGGCAATATGACTAATATTAGTCATTAAACAACTTCTAATGCATACTGTGTGCTTTGCCACTAGATGGTGCTTGTGGAACTGAGGAACATCAAAGCACACTAAACGTTCTCCACCAGTTTTATAATTGGATGAAAACAATTATGTTGAAAATCACCTCTGCCTGTCCCTTGATTATAAACTCTCCTAATAGAGTCTGATGAAAAATGTATAGATTTATAGATAAATCCTGTTCTGAATTATCACGAGTGCAGAATACAGAGCCAGACATTAAATACTTGATAGTATTTATTGGAAAACCAAACTTCTATAGAATACCTAGACACCGAAAAGTAACACAAAGCTGATTCTTTTACTCCCTTGTCTAGGGGTGTTAAAGCCAATTGTAACGGCCCCATCTTCACTTAGCACATACCAGGGACCTAGCCTGAACCCTTCCTGGAATATGCGGCACAATAGCAATATGATGACAAGCGTTGACCACACGCAAAACCATTAGATAAAATGAGTTTAAGGATATTGGGAAAAAGCAACCAGGTATTTTCTGTCTGTTTCTTCAGAATTTTTCAGTGGAATGACAAATTTTCCAACAACTAAACAGCAAATGATCCACTTTCTCATGATGCATAATTCAGAACTCTAACTGGTAATGTACCTAATCTCCTGAATAAGCAGTTGAGAGCACATCTGTCACTACACTCAACTTCATCTACAGAGTCATTATGTGCACTTGACTGACAATGACAAGTGGAGACATCACTTGCATTCACTTTGACTTTAAACAAAATACATAGTTAAATTGGACTGTTTTCTATCCCAATAGTCAATGTTAATACAGCCACTTTGTTCAGACATGTCCACAAGGAGCAGGGTGGCAACATGAATCCCCATGCTTGAGTTGAGAGGTATAGAAAGCTGTCAGTCCTCTGAGGATTTAGCAAGCAAGAGTAGGCAGTAGCTCATTAAATTTCCTTTGGGCTGATTGAGTTCTGAGTGTTTTCCTTCAACCCTAGGGTCTGATTGATTGCAAGTTGAAATGAATACTCACAGTGCTGTCCTTCAGGAGAAAAGCACAGCATTGGATCCCAGCCATCAGCATCTTGTGTGGATTCCAAGCAACAGAGTCAGCCCTGAAGAAAAAGGTGAGAAACAGAGAGACGTAAAAACACATGGCAATCGTTTACTGTGCGATAACTGAGGCCAGGGACCCAGCCTGAAACCTTCCTGGAATATGCAGCACAATACCAATATGATGACAAGCGTCGACCAGTGTGAGCGGTTATGAGGCCAACAAACACTACCTCATCACTATTAGTGACTTATCCTCCATGACATAATGGTTAGTTTCTCAAAAAATACCTAAAAACAGAAAACTGAGAGGCTATAAAAAAAAATTATTTAAACTTAAAACAATGCCTGCCTTATGTTGCAGGAAATTGAAAAGATCATAGGAGTACCCTGGAAAGGGGGCACAGATAATTATGGCTGTTTAGGTGACAAAATAATAATAATAATGGGGTCACTCTATCCACGACTGTGGGACATCACAGTGAGCAATTGGCTGCTGTGTTTCGCCCACAAAACACACAGTCACCACATTTTACAGTGTATCCTGTGAAGCGCTTTGAGACGTCTCGAAGACGTGATAGGGCGCTATATCAAATGCAAAAATGCATATATTTATGGTGGCCTTCATGTTCATTCTCACAGCTTGCAATGAAGTGAAAATGGACACATAATATATAAAAAATATATAATTTTACTTTCACTTACATTTTGCCTAGAATATAAGGTGACATGGTACATGTTTTAGTTCTTCTTCTAAAAAGTTCTCATTGGTCAAAATTGTCCTTAAATTCAATACTGTGACCTATTTGTGTACTTCAACACTTTTGGTGTGAGAATCAGGTTTGCTATTAAGGATACAATGGGATTTTGTTACACGAGACTCCCACGATAGAAACGTTAATCATTTCTTTGCATATCATCCACTTGTCAGGCTTTGCTACGCAACTGTACATGACTCAGCAAATAATCCAGATGTTCACAGTATGGTGATGATTACTTATTGTTGGACTCAATTGTTCCAGTAAATTAGCTCAGATCAGTAGATGGATTGCTTACATGCATGGTTTAAAAATTAGAATTCAGCAGAAAGAAAGGAATTTTTCAACAAACTTTCAAAAGGTATAGATCTTGTTAGGTGTTTATAACTTGATATAAACGATCAACAAACAATCTATTGGCATCTTCCCCTTCGACAGTGCCTTTGGCCTCTGCCCGCCTCCAGCTCAGAGTCAGTCTCCGCCACTGTTACGTACTCTGAGATGCTACCCTGCATGGAGCGCGCTATTTAAGTGCAAGTTGTTGTTGTTGTATATCAAATGCAAGGCTTATTATTATTATTTGTTACAATGAAAATATTTAAACATTTCTTAAATCATTCCTTCTCGAAGTACTGTAAAATGATCTTGAGCACAGCACGTGGGAGGTGAAGAGGGGAATGGGTTCAAGTAGAGTCACATTACTGCTCAAGTCCAATTGCTCAAGAGCACAAACTTCTAACAACAGCTGCAAATGTTTTCGGGTCCAACTTACATTCATCGCTAAATATAGCAATCATTTTCTTGTGCCTTCATGATGGGGTGTGCAAAAAGATTGCTATCATCAGTGATCACCTTAAAATAACTTGGCTTGTTGAAGGATGGAAGGAATCCTTCCAGATTAACCAGTGTTGCCAGTTACAGCACTGTGCAGAGTTCAAAGCGGACACTGGTTAACAATGAATATTCTTCAACAATAACTTACATTTACATAACGCCCCTCATGCAGGGCAGCGTCCCAGAGAGCTCAACAGTGGCAGAGCAAGCCGCCGAGCCAGGGGGAGGGGGAGGTGACTGTAGGCACGGTCGAGATTCTTACATTGAAAGGCAAAATTTATGACAATATGCCTTTCATTTAATAATGTTAGTAGTGACTGAATTCACATGGCTACATTTACCTGTGGATACCATTCAGAAGAAAGCGATGTTTCTTTGACATCAGTGCACTACCTCCCCATGATGCCTGAAAGAGGAAGAGAAAGTTACCATGTAATTATAAGGCTAACTTGTGTATAAATTGAAAACTTTGCAATAAGTTTGTAGGTTTGGGGAAAAAAAACAATAATCGTTTGAACTACCCTTACTAAAATACTGCATAATAATAAGGAATACTGATAATAATAATAATAAAAGAATTGATACAGCATTTGATATAGCACCTATAATGTTTGAAAGCACTTCACAAGGTATTTCGGACAAATGTGGTACTCTATATTTTTCAGAGGTCAATTTGTAATCAATTTGTGCACAGCAACGCCTCGCAAAAAGTCATGAAGTGAATGACTAATTTTATATGGGGAATTGTTGGCCAGGACACCAGGAGAAACTCATTTCTCTTTTTCAATTGTCTTGTGGGATTTTTAATGTCCACCCGAGAAGGCAGACAAGACCTCGGTTTAACGTCCCATCAGCAAGACGGCACAGCCAGCAATGCAACACCAGCTCTGCACTGGGGTGTCAGCCTGGACTAGTGGTATCCAACTGGTCAATCGGCACAAAGTGGCGTCTTGCACATGCTCAATAAAAACAAGAGGAAGAAGCGATATTTACCACAGTTTAAACATTAAAGTTTATATTTCTCTTTCGTGATGCATGAAATACTTTGTGTACCTGGCTTTGTTTTGAATTGGACTCAATAACTAGACAGTTCTATCGCTCCTTCCTCTTGTCTTTTTGATAATGCGCGAGAGCCCCACCTAGAGTTGATCAACCAGTGGGGATCCCCTGGCCTAGGCCGTGAATGTCAAAGCTCCAACCCACAACCTTCTGACCCAAGAACTAGAGTGCTGACACTTACTGATACTGAACCAGTCACAGATCCATAACATATATAACTGGGCAATTGCTTAATCAGATTCTTGATGAGAAATGCTGCAAAATTAGTTTAGAAAAGTAAACAAAGCAATTAATGTTTTAATATTATGAGATTTATCTTTCTCTATTTGTCTGTAGCAATAACGGGTACCAACTGAATGTTAGTGTCAGGCTTAATGCCATACTAAATGTGGTAAGGGTTAAGTTAAGCGGAGATGTAAATTATGGAGTTGAAAGCAGAAAAGAGGATTGAATCACGCTGGCCAATTTATCTCATCCTTCCAGAAAAACAACCCTACTATCTTTCCATTACAGCAATATGCATTTCTTCATTGAATCGGTATAGTGTCCATGTACCCATAAATTAAATGCAATTAGTGGACTAATAATGGAAAATTCTAAAAAAAACAAGCAGTTGTTTACAGTTGATAAAAAGGAGAAAATATGAAATGAGTCAGAATTTAATTAGAAACTTACATCAACATGAAACCAGAGTCCATGTGCCTCGCAGATGTTTGCAATCTCATTCAATGGGTCAAATGCTCCGAGGACCGTGGTTCCAGCAGTGGCAATAACTAAGAAAGGCAAAGATCCCTGAGGAGTGACCACATAAAACATTCATTTCACATGATAACTGGAAGATATGTGTCAAATGAGCATCTACCTGCCTTCAGGGCAATTGTGAAACCCAATATTTCTTAATATAAACAAAAAAAATCCAAAAAGCTGATATCAAAAGTACATGAATACTGGAAACATGAATCAAAATAGAAAATGCAACCCCATCACCAACTGAAAGTAAAAGACAGGTTAATATCTCTGTTGTGTCCTGAGTAGGAATAATCAGGCTGCTGAAACTGCTGGATTATTTCCACTAGGTAGTGAGAGGACACATATTCCACAAAAAGAATTAAAGGGAAGATGAGAATAAACATTCTTTACTCAGAGGATGGTTGGAATGTGGGACTCTCTGCCACAAACCATAGTTGCAGGTTTTGTTTTGGCATCTGGGTGTCTGGCACATGTAGAAATCCATCACTGTGCTTAAGAGTATCCAAACCAAACTGATAATTCCATGCTTCCCACCTACACATGGAAATCCCAGAGATAGATTGTTGGAACGGAAGGCGCACTCTCTCCCTGGAGGGACACATCCCGCTTACCTAATTCCAGAAAGTAGTAGACGCAGATTGGCAGGAGCCAAGGCTTGGTGACTCCAGAGTGTGTGTTGGGGTATGGCTTGAGTCTAACCAGCATAGTTTGCCATTGATATCACTATCTTGCAAGCTTTGAAATAGAGTTCATGAATCATTTCAAAAAGGAATTAGATAGATACTTGAAGAGAAGCAATGTTAAAGTGAGTAAAAGAGTGGGATTAGATTGTGGAGAAACAACACAAGTGGAGCCTTCATGGGTTGAGTGAATAATTGTTTTGCTTTTATAAGACAACTCAGGGAATCACAAAAGCACAAGGAAAAGCAATAGGATAAGTCCAGAATTCAAATCTACTTAGTAAAACAACAACAACAAATTGCAGTATATTTGCAAACAATCAGCTGCAGGGTTATTAATAGATCTGTAAAGAATATTGTTGGTTTCTAATTAAAAAACCTCCTATTTTTAAAACATTTTTCCCACTTGAAATTCTTATCCCCATCAGCATTAGAAAGAGTCTGGATTTACTCCCCCAACGGCCTCGTTGGTAAAGGAACTGACCAGTCCAACACTAAGTCAAACAAACTAGTTGAAGGTTATCAGTTCATTTTACAGACTGTTGTTAGTTGATCTCAGTTGGGGGAATAATTAGGGCGTATTACCTACAACTGTACCCCAACATGAGTCAGTGCTTTTAGGAGAGGAATGCTTCCTGTTCATTTAATGCACTTTATTAATCCAATCTCTCCAAACCATGTCAAAAAATTTGATCCAGAGCTGTTTCTGCTAAAATTCTTACACAAAACAAATGCATCAGTCATGTCAGTGAACAAGTGCCACGATTTCCTTTAGATTCCTTGTGTACTCACCTCTGCCTTGGCTTTTTGGATTTCCTTCTCCAGCTCCTGTGGTATCATTTTACCTCTAAAAGATTAAGATTACAAAGTTTGGTTAATTAATATCTTGAGTGACTAAATACAGTCACACTCAACAATAGACATAGGTGGATTCCTAGTTAATGATAAGCACATCTTAAAGATAGCTCATTTAATTTTCAACCCTGTTCCTCGAGTAATTTTCAAATTAATTTTCCAGACATTACAGTGGCCTTAACAGAAGTTCTGGATGTTTTCCTCACCAATGGGATCTTGAGACTTTGATCTTAAACAATTTTGAATTACTCCAAGGGGATAAATACTGCCTAGAATTTGGCAAGACATTGGCTTGAAGACATAACCTAATTTAATAATAATAATCCTTGCATATGATATAGAACCTTATCACATCGTTGAGATGTCTTAAAGGACTCCATAGAATATACCATAAAGTGGATTGACTGTGTATTTTGTGGGTGAAACATGGCAGCCAATTGTGCACGGTAGTGTCCCACAATCAATCATGGATTGAGTGACCAAATTTTAAACAACTAAACTTTTTTTTTCAGTGGTCGTTTAGGTTCAATCGTTTAGGTTCAATTTAACCAGGGAGGGAGGAGGTGATAGTGGTGCGTTTACTGTGTTTGCTGGAGGGGGAGAGGGGGCTGATGAGGTGATGGAGTGGACTAGGCTAGAATACTAAGAAACTTTTGGAGCATGTTTTAGAGATAGAAGAGTTTAAGCGCTTTGCTTCACAAACAGCTCTTAACTCAACACTGTCAAAAATCAGTGTTGTTGAGTATATGATGGAAGATCAGTGGAAGAGACAAATTGCAGTTCTGATACGTGGGATGAATAATTTACAAATACTTTGGCTAAAAACTCTAAAAAATCTAAAGCATCAGCACAAAATCAGAGAAAAAGTTCCCTGCATCAGTCAGTTCTACTGGAGTAGGTCCATGATGGTTTTGAGAGTGGGGCCCATCACTTGTTATGCTTTAGATGTGACTTAAACATCGACAATCCTTACCTCTCATCTGCAGTGACAACATAGACATTGCGGGTCCCAATTCCTAGGAAGGCAGCGGCTTTCTTCACAGAGTAGTGGCACTGGAGATAATGTTAATTAATTATTAATTAATGTTAATAAGAGTAATGTTAATTAGTCATGGATGCACTGTATTAAATTACTGCAATCTATCTCTTACTGCAATAAAAAAAACTTTTACATTGAATTGGTTTGAAGAAGGAAAACAATATGAATATAATCCAGCTAAGGATACAATATTACATTTGTATAGCCTTTCACATCAGGAGGACGTCCCAAGGCGCTGGGACAGTCAGGGACTTGGACCTGAACTGGTGGTCGGGCTCGGGGAAGGTCGAGAGTAGGAAGGGTAGGAGGGTGGCAAAGGCTTGGTCGAAGAGGAGGGTTTTGAGAACCACCTTGAAGGAGGCAAGGGAAGGAGCGAGTTATGTAAGATTGGCTTTACCCAGTGCTGTACCACTACCACCCATGGGGTAGTGACATGACAGACCAGGAGCTCTCTTCCTTTCCTGATGATCCCTCCAAACCACCTCCCCCAAAGTCCTCCTTCCCCTCTCGCCCACATTATCCCCGCCTCATACCATTTAAACTCCCTAAAGGGACTGAAGCATAATAGCCTTTATGCAAAACAAATAGCACCAGGAAGGGATCACAACTTTTAGTTCAAATCAGGTTTAACAGGAAGAAATATGCCAATCCCAACCCACCAACCCACAGTTCCCAGCAGCCTCACTCAGGCCTCCAAGGATTTTGGAGATCAGTCCTCTACCCACCAACTTGCATTAAATTACCCTGCAGGGCAAGTACACAGATGCCTAGTAAATATACATGGTACTGAAGGTAAATACATTGATTTCCCCTTTTCTGAATTTACAGGTTCCTCTTGTCTTTTTTTTTAATTCTCCAACCTCTGGAATTCCATCCCCCAATCACTCCACCTCGCCCCCTCCTTAGCCTCCTTCAAGTCTCGTCTCAAAACCAACCTTTTCGACCATGCCATCGGTCACCCCCCTTCTCCCCACCTGACCCCAGCTTGTGTCTGAAATGCTGTACATTGTTCAGCACCTTGGGTCGTCCTCCCGACGTGAAAGGCGCTATACAAGTATAATCTTGTTGTTGTTGTCTTCTTCCAGGGTTTAGTTTTTTTATTCTTATATGAACGCAATAGGGAAAACCCATTAAAAATATATTTTTTTAAATTCAGCGTCAATTTAAAATGATAAAAACATTCCAAAAACATTCCCAGATCGTAGATTTTAGGACAATATATTAAGGGTAAGACCATGACAAATTCAGGGTCTCAGAAACCAACATAAATCAACAAAACGTCCAAGCAGACACTATTTTGTGGATTGTACAATGTGTCACGCACCTCCTCAGATGTGAACATCGCCAAAGGGGGTACACCGGAAAGTCCATTCTCCTTAAAATCTGGGCAAAACTTGTAACGAGCCAAATTAACAGCGTACATATTGGACACAGAGCCTCCTGTTTGGGGTAGAGAACACACAAAACAATTATGTGGCTGGAAATATTTGCGAAACAGAAATGATCAGAAAGGAATATGCCAAAAATACACAGTCACTTCAGTTTACAGCGAAATCCTTTGAAGCGCTTTAGGACATTGAAATGACATAATAAGCTCTTATATCAAATCCCCAAATTATCATTATTATTATAATAATTATTGAAATGTACTTGTTTCCCCAATAGCAGCAAATTTGTATTTAGTGTCATTGGTAAAAAAAAATTAAGATTACAGAAGGTAACAATTTCTGGTTTTTGTACAATCCATAAAATGCTTAACGTTTTCTATGTAATGTCAGCAGAACTACTTATGCTTATAAACTGTTGAATTATGGCTGATATTATGACACAATGGAAGACGCAGGAGTCTGGATGGTAGAGGAAAATGCTTGTAACATTATGAGGTTCGGTCCCTAGTATATAAAGAGAAATTCCAGCAATGAAAAGAACACTGCTTTAGCAATTGGTACATAATGGACCATAATCGCGAGAGTAGGAGTTTGTAAGTTGGAAAGGGATTAATTTTATATACTATTTAGAAATTTCTATTGTGACAGCTGAAATGGCACTTCAGGGAGTGAGGACCTTGGGAAAGATGACCAATGCGGAAACAAGTACATTTCAAGATACTGATGCAGCATTGGGATCAGAATAATTGCTGAGAGTGGAAGAGTTTATGGTTACGGTTGAGGAGAAGATATTCATAGGGGAATGGCTATTTATCATTTCAAAGCCTCAGGACAGAAAGAATTTGAACTGGAAAGGTTCTCGACAGGACAGAAAGAAAAGAGCTGTGTCAGTAGTTTATCAGCTTCAGGACTGATGCAGTTTCTCGTCCTTTATTAAGTAAGATTGCCAAGTCCACAGGCAAAGTCAAGAACAAGAAGAATGCCACAGAATGCTTACTGCAAAGTGTATCGGGAACATGCAGAAGAGATGTCTGCAGAGTAAGGCAATTTTCTCATTAGATTATCTTTGATGAATAGATTTTCTAAATGGAAGAGAATAAGTTCTCAGAAATAATGAGCAAGGAAATATTAAATAATCATACTAGTAATCCTTGCATTTGATACAGCACTTTATCACTTCGTTGAGACATCTCAGCCCTTTATAGATTATATTGTGTGTATTTTGTGGGCTAAACGTGGCAGCCAATTTACCATTTGTGGGCTGAATTTCTGGTTAGTAAAAACTGTATAGTGTAGTGACTATGTACTTTGTAGGCAAACTTGATCCTTCCTTCATCCTTTCAGAAGAACCACCGTATTGTATTCTCATTACAAATATTAAGACTGGATTGATATTTGACTGGACCTAGGTTGTTTTTCCTTCCCTATCTCCAGTAGATGGAGTGTTCTATTGCTAAATCTATGAGTATGACTGAGTGCCAGTGAATCTGTGCCAAATATGGGCAAACATTGTCTATTAAGAACAGGTTGAGCTCAAAAGTCAGTTAAGGCCCCTTAAATGAATAATCAGGGGATATAGTTGAAAACCAACATTGTGCTTGAAGATCTAGCAGACTATCTGAACACTGATTTCTGAATGACAAATATTCAGTCACAATATATTATGGAACTTTTCCTGACCATCTATAGCTGTTGTCTTGGGCCATACATATTTTCACACCAGAGATGGCATCTATCAAAATTGCTGCAAATGTACACTGTCACTTAGAAGGTTTAACAGAAGGTTAAATCATGACCATGTGCTTTATTGTTGTTGGTAGCTTTATATATATATATATATATAAAGCTGGGTGTGTTTCTTACCTGGACTGAAGATACCATCTCCTTCTGCCCAGCCTATGAACTCCCTCATTTTCTTCAAAACGGCATCTTCCATTAGTACGAACACAGGTGACACTTCATATGTGTAGCTGCAATGGAGATAATGGATAAGAAATTCAAACAGAACAGCTTTCAACAAGACAAAGACACCCAGCTCTACTGATCTCCAGTCGTTGGTTACGGTCTGCAATTAATGGACACATTTGGTAAAAATTTTAAAAAACTTGCCTGACATGGATTAATAACATATTTTGATTCACTATGCACCCCTCCCACCGCTAGATGTGGTAAAGTACTTACAACACCATTAAATTGTCGGAGTGGTACAATACCAATCTTAATTTTGCAGAAGTCTGGGGGGGAAAAGGCCAGTAACCAAACAGCCTGCCATTTCCTGATGGTGTGTTGTTTATCAACAACAACAACTTACTGTTGATTAGATTGTTTGTGAAGGGGTTCAGCTGGAGAAGAACCAACTGGTGGTATGTGCAAAAGAGAATTTCCCTGCCATTATTAGCTACTTGTGAACACATATTACTCAAATGGAGTGTCCTAATTCCTAATATCCTATTGTGGGTTAATTCTAATCTACAAGTAGCTCTTATAAACATAGTCAATCTACTAAATGATTTAAGTCCTTTTCTTGTGAACTTCAGAACAGCAAGACACAACACAAAACACAAACAAAATGACATTTATAGAGCACCTTTCATGTCGGGAGGATGTCCCAAGGCGCTGGACAGTCAGGGGTCAGGACCCGAGCATGGGGGAGGGGTGTGGTAGGGGTGAGGGAAGGCAGAGAGGTGGAAGGGTGACCAAAGGCACGATCGAAGAGGAGGGTCTTGAGACCGGCCTTAAAGGAGGCAAGGGAGGAAGCGAGGTGAAGGGATTATGGGATGGAGTTCCCGAGTGTGGGTGCAGAGAGGGTGAAAGCACGGGTCGGGAGACATGGAGCAGACCAGAGCCCGCTGAACGGAGGAGTGGGCAGGTTGGTAGAGAGCCAGCAGATCAGAGAGGCAGGAGGGGGCAAGGCCATGGATGACTTTGAAAGTGAGGAGGAGGATCTTGAATTTGATCCTCTGGGGGATGGGGAGCCAGTGGAGTCGGGTGAGAGTGGGAGTGATGGGGTCGCGGAGCCTGGTGCACGAGAGTACACGAGCTGCAGAGTTTTGGATGATCTGCAGCTTGTGAAGGGAAGAGCTGGGAAGGCCGATGAGGAGGGAGTTTCCATAATCGAGCTTTGATGTGATGAATGCGTGGGTGAGGGTTTCGGCAGCCTGAGGGGTGAGGCAGTAGCAGAGTCTGGCAATGTTGCAGAGGTGGTGGTAGACAGTGCCGGTCATGGCGCGGATGTGGGGGAGAAAGGACAGTTTCTCTTTGACCGTGCCTTCAGCTCCCCTCTCGACTTTCTTCCTCCTCCTCGCTCCCTCCCTTCCCTCCCCTCACCCTGACCATTTCCCCCCTCCTCTCTCCTCCCTTCCCTCCCCTCACCCTGACCATTTCCCCCCTGCTCGGGTCATGACCCAACTGTACAGCGCCTTGGGACGTCCTCCTGACGTGAAAGGCGCTCTATAAATGGAATCTTGTTGTTGTTGTTGTTGTTGTTGTTCAGTCTTGTCAAACAAGACACCCAGGTTCTTGACCAGCTTAGTGAGGTTGAGTGTGCAGCGTGGAGGCTGATGTTGCCAGTGCCCGAGGTGTAGAGGCGCTGGCACAAGCCAATCAGGAGGGCCTCGGTCTTGCTGACATTCAGTTGGAGAAAGTTGTCCCTTGTCTAGGACTTGATGTCGTGCAGGATGCCAGTAGTCCTGGAGTTGAGGATCGAGGTAGAGAGAGAGTTGGGTGTCATCCGCATACATGTGGAAATTTACCCCATGTCTGCGGATGATGTCACCAAGGGGGAGCATGTAGAGGGTGAAGAGAGGGGACCAAGAACAAAGCCCTGAGGAACGGCGCAAGAGACGGTGCGGGGGCTGGAGGCGAAGCCGTTTGCTGAGACGAAATGGAGGCGGTGTGAAAGGTAGGACCTGAACCTGTCAAGACAGAACCTTGAAGGTTGAGGTTGGAAGGGAGGAGGTAGAGGAGGATTGAGTGGTCCACAGTATCAAGGGCGGCGGAGAGGTCGAGGAGTATGTGGAGGCAGAGGGAGTCCTGGTCACACATGGTCAGGGTGTCATTTGTGACCTTGACCAGAGCAGTTTCCGTGTTGGGGGCAGCACGAAAACCCAATTAGAGGGGCTCATGGAGGGAGTGGAAGGAAAGGAAAGAGCGAAGCTGGGAGGCAACAGCTCTCTCAAGGACATTAGACAGAAAAGGGAGGTGGGAGATGGCCTGGTAGCTGGATAACTGTGATGGGTCAAGGGAAGGTTTCTTCAAGGTGAGGGTGATAGTGGCTGTTTTGAGGGGGGTAGGAACAGTGCCAGACGACAGGGAGAGGTTGATGATGTCGGTGAGTAGTGGGGCAAGGAGTTGGAGCTGGGATTCAAGGAGAGGGGTGGAGATGGGGTTCAGGGAGCAGGTGGTGAGCTTCATGGACGATATGGTGATGATGACAGAGGAGGAGGTGACAGGTTCAAAGGAGTGGAAGGAGGGATGGGTAGTGGTCAGAGTGTGGGGGGGTGGGTAGGAAGGGGTGGAGGTTGGGAGGGCAGTGACAGCTGAGCGGATTCCCTCGATTTTGGACTCGAGGAAGTCCAGCATTTCCTTGCAGTCGGAATCGGAGGAAAGAATCTGGGAAGTGTGGCGGGGAGGGCAGAGGAGCAGGTTGTGTTGGAGAACAGGAACCTGGAGTTGCCCTTTGCCTCCACGATTAGCCTGGAGTAGAAGGACGATTTGGCCGAGGTGAGAGCGGAGCAGTAGGTTTTGATGTAGTCCAGCCAGATGTGCCAGTGGACCATTAGAGCGGATTTGAGCCAAGTGCGTTGGGCAGCCCGCACCTGACCCTTGAGCGAGTGGAGGTGGCTGGTGAACCAGGGTGAGGATCAGGAATAGGAGGCAGGCAGTTCGGGAGGCAAGGATGTCGAGTGTGGTGGAGAGGGTGCTGTGGACAAAGTAAAAGGCAGAGGTTGGTGCAGGAGGTGGGTCAGAGGGGAAGGAGTTCAGAGGACTCCACGGCAACGGAGAGGGATTGAGGGGAGATCTTCTTCCATGGATGGTGATAGGTTTGGAGGCAGTGGGGAGAGGGATATAGGAGTTGAGGGAGATGAAATGGCGGTCAGAGATGGCCTTGTCAATGATGGTGACATCCAAGACGCTGAGACCCTGGGTGAGTACCAGGTTGAGCGGGTGGCTGTGAACATGGGTAGCAGAGTGGATGTGGAAGGAGAGGTTGAGAGAGGAGAGGAGAGAGGAGAAGTCTGAGGAGGTGGAGCAAGAGGGGGTGAAGTGGAGGTTGAAGTCGCCTAGAATGACTTGATTGAAACATAAGATATTTTCACCACAGAAGAAAGCAATTTAACTAATCATGTATGTGTCACTACTTCCTCTATCTTCTTTTTAAGATGCTTTTTTTTAAATTTCACTTCCTTCTTTTTTTCTTCATATACATAGTATTTTTTTTCTCAGATGCTTAACCAGTTCCCTTTTGAATTATTCAAATAGTGGACCTGTGGAATAGGCTCCCTAGGGTGACGGTTGAAGCAGGAAGTGTTGATTCCTTCAAACACAGATTAGATAGTTTTCTTTTAGGAAATAACATTTTGGAATACAGTACATAGGTAGTGGGACATATGTGCATGCGACCGCCAGGAAAGTGGAGGGCAAACTAGATGGAACTTGGTCTTTTTACATCTAGCATTTCTTATGTTTTTATGATTCCAGACTCAATAGCCAATGATGGTATTGAATTTACTCTCTTAACCTTCTAAATGAAAATATTTCCTTTAACCTCACCCTAATTTTTCTGCTAACAATTCTTGCTCCGTGCAACATCTCATATAATAAACAATAATGTGCGATCTTCAGAGTGTGAAAGTAAAAGTAAGTGTGAGTTGAATTGATAGAATTGATCTTCATTGCAATAAATGTATGAAACTTGAAAAACTGGCCAACTTACTCTCCCTACCACCCCATTATTCCAAATGTTGACTCGAAGAAGGGGGTGGGAGACAGAATAGACAGAACACTATGCACTAAAATTTAAGTTAAAAAATACTTACACACTGGGATTGAGAGCTTCAGTTACAAAGCGGGCAACAAGGGAATAATGGTCCATCCCTGCATATAGCTGGTTAAAGAATCTTGGATGGCCTATGGAAACAAATCAAACTAAATATATACTGTATATTCGAAACACAGAAACCCATTCAGCCATTTGTTAAAACATGTTCTCCAATTCTTTTTAGACCATTTTCTGTGGATCATAATGGTGGTTAATAATACTGAGTTAGACAAAGCAAGATATCCCCAGGTTTCATATCTGGTCTGTGCTGCATTTTCTGATCCCTTGAATAGGAGTGAGAATTAGAATTGACTTCAGCATCCCAGCACTGGGCTGGGAGATAGGAGTCATCCAGGATTCCAGTTTCTGATTACTATCTACTTACCCCTGCTTGTGTGTAGAAATCAAGAGGACGATACAGGGTCAAATGGCCTACTGTGAAAGTTCACACATGAAGAATTTCTATTTGAATGAGGTATTGGAGCATGAGTATAACCTCCAGAACAGTAAAGTCCCAGGATGGGGTACAACCTTCAGGATAATAGAGTCCCAGCCTCGAGTACAAACTTCAGGACAATAGAGTCCCAGCATGAGGTACAATATTCAACAGAGAAGACCCAGAGAGAGAGAGAACTCAAGAAAAAAAATCAGAATAATGACAACAAGTTGCATTTACATAGCGCCTTTCACGCAGGGTAGCATCCCAGAGTGCTTCCTAGTGGTGGAGTCTGAGAACGAGCCAGGGAGAGAGGGCGTAGGGGAGGTTACCATAAGCACGATCAAAAAGGAAGGTCTTTAGGTGTGATTTGAAGGTGGGGAGGGAGGGGGCAAGATGGAGGGATCGAGGAAGAAAGTTCCAGAGTTTCGGGGCATAGTGGCTGAAGGCACAGCCGCCGATGGTGGAACGGAGGGCAGGAGGGACAAATAGGAGGCCAGAGCCAGCTAAGGGGAGGCAGCGAACGGGTGGTGGAGTAAGTAGGTCAGATAGGTAGGGAGATGCGAGGGAATTAAGTGATTTAAAAACGCGTGAGAGGAACTTGAAGTCGATCCTTTCGGTGATTGGGAGCCAGTGGAGCCTGGCAAGTACTGGTGTGATGGGGGTACGGAGTTCCGTCGGGTGTGAACCTGGATGGCGGAGTTTTGAATAACAAACAGTTTGGATAAATAAGTACTTGAGGACAATTTTCTGTTTTTCAATCCTATTACATTAAAATAAACTCAAGTTAATTATTGCATAGGGATTACAGGATTAGGTTTATTTTTGTCTTTTTCCAATGTGCGTAGTGTTTACTAAACAGTGGCACATAGATCATATCACGCCACTGTCACCAAGGACAGCAGATGCTATTCCTGAGGGTAATGTCAGCAGTGTGCTCAAATACTGTTCCTAAACCACAAAGGTAATTGTTTGTTTAACATGTTTATCATTGAATATGGCTCAGTTCACGCATCGGAATAGCGAAATTGCATTCTGCTGTAGAATGGGCAGAACTAACCTTTCTCCTGTTTGGCTATTTTCTTTCTTTCCCTTTCTCCCTCCTATTTTCTGCCACTATTTCCCCTTCTCTGCCAGAGCCTCTGGTACCTCATCCAAATGATGAATATTCATGAACAATGTGTGACAGTGGGGAGACAATCACATCTGAGCCTGAATCTAGCTTCACCTGATATATACACAACATTTCCAGCAGAGGTGACTGGATAGGAATCAGGATTAGGAACCCCGGCTGATTGTACCCTTTCCAAAATCCTGAGAATTTAAATCCAACTAGTCTCCACCCTTTTTTTTCTTTTGAAAAAGAACCGTCAGTTCTTGACTAATACAGGATAACTCGTGTTAGAACACCTCCTGTTTTAACACAACATCTTATGGTGCTTTCAGCATGTGAACCCACAATAACCAAAAGCACAGTATACCCAGCGTTTGCTACTGATTAACAGACTTCCTGTGCTACATCCTGTCTCTCTTCTGTGAAACATGTGCATATGTGCAATGTTACTTTTCGTGTGCTATGCATTCTCGCGCCGGAAGCTCCTCTAATGTCATTTCCAAAGAATTGATAGCAGCAGCGCTTCTTGTTTATGCAAGCACCGCCCCCCCCCCCCTGCCGGCTTGGGCCCACTTGGGGCGTCCTCCCGACATGAAAGTCACTTTACAAATGTAATTTTGTATTGTACTGTATAGTATAAACAGCACACAGGAAGTGATGTTAGCAGCGCTATCAGCAAAAACACACAGTCACTCCACTTTACAATATATCCTGAGTAGCACTTTGGGCATCCTCCCAATGTGAAAAGCGCTATAGCAAATGTAAGGATTATTATTATAGTACAACGCCCAGAAAGTGACGTCAGGAGAATCCTGACAACTCAGACAGCAGCCTTGTTCATCATACCTACAAAATGCACACATTACACTTTATAATAAATCCTGTGAAGAGCTTTGAGACATCCTCGCAATGTGAAATGCACGACAGCAACTATAAGAATTTTATTTGACTGCAGCTCCAGAGCTTGAAAATAGGAGGGAGGAAGGGAAAGAGAGACAATGGAGTTGCCTTGTACAGGATTCAAAAACACAAAAATATTGCATTGCCTGCAGGCACCATGAAGCAAAAACTGTTGCTTGTGCATTAAACCATGTGTGATTCAGAGAACTTTCTCAAATATTTTTTCATTTACTGATTTATTCTATAACAGAGGGTTCAAACTGAAGGGGTGCCCCTGGACTTGGTAGGGGATGCACAAACAGCCTACTGGGTAAGAAGGTTTTCTTGCTTAACAGCATTTTGCTGGCATTTTTCCCACGTTGGGGGGAGGGGGAAGAGAAGCCAAGTGTGAGAGGCCAGACCTTAAGAGTGAGTGAAAGAGAGAGAGAAAGAAAAAAAAATGGTTCATCCTGTTCCCTCCGATTGAAATTTTGATCGCTAACCAGCCCGGGGACAAGAGGCCAAGGGGGAAGAGTAGCCCGTGCCTCATGAGGAGTGCGCGAGCATGGTATGTTCGAGAAAGATTGTGTTATGCATGGGGTATTAAGCTCCGAAAGAGGATCCAGTGCAAAAAAGTTTGAAAGCCCCTGTTCTATAAAATATGATTTCCTCCCTCTCCTCTTCTCCCCTCTTGCTATTTCAGGAAAATACACAACCCTGGTCAAGCGGCTGGATAGGTGATCTGCTCCCAGGACTTGCTAATAATGTTGCTGCTCTCTTACCAGCAGCCAAGAAATGCCTGACGTAATTGCTTGACAAGGGATAAAACTTATTCTTATTTAGACTCCATCTCCCTTTCTTATGCACTTTACTATATATAGTGTTGGAGAGAGAAAAGGAGAAACCACAGATCCAAACAAACCGTTGGAGCTTCATTGTACTGCAACACAAACCCTCTGTGTTTTTAGTTGGAATATTAAGGAAATGATCATCAACAAAATCCAGCACAAATACAGAATGTGTCCAAGGACGTAGCAAAACTGACGGGTTGCCACATTTTTAATCAAAGGTGCACAGAAATGTGTCTTTGGGTTTCCATCAGTTAGAGTCAGTGAACAACCCAGCCAGCCTGCAACTTTGAATGCCACGGTGAATGATCATGCACTGCTGTAACCCTGGGGACTATTTTCCAAGATTAATGTCCTGAATAAAATAATACTCAGCAAATTTTAAAAAAAGCGAAAGCAACCTTAATGGGGTTAATACATGAATTTAGATCAAAAGAAGCAGAACAGTGATTGTTGATTCCTCATATCCAAAGTAACATAAGAGTGTACAGGACCTCAGTAACATTGAAAGCCATCTCGCCGATTCTCAAAAGTTCATTCTGTTACTTGATAACAATTTATGCCTTCGCTATAAATAAGTAATAAATGTTTTACAAATGTTAGAAAAGATCAATTCTAAAAAATACTGTTTTGCAACATTGTGGTAACTATTTTACAGCTTTATTTTAAATTTAGATTGTACATTAGAGACAGTGTGAAGCACCATTTTTCAATGCAACTTAGAATAGTTAAAGATCAATTCTCTTTGTATCTAATTTACCATGAGATACAGTAATCACAGTATGTGCAATTGGTATGTGGATCCCAGCATTTACTTATCAAAAAATCAAAATACATGCAGAAAGTCTGCCAGCTCGCTTCAAGTCATGTTATAATAAACTTATCCAATGTGATGAGTTAGCCGTATGTCCTCTGAATATACTTTTTATACAGAGTACATCCTGTATATCCTGAATACATTATGTGTATATATAATATATAAATAAAATCTACATATCTATTCTAAATATGCAACTATCATACAGAAAATTCCCACTTTTGCTCCAGGCTCCTCTGCGCCCCTCTCTCCCGCTCGCACTGTCAGCACCCACTCGCTACAGACACCGCAATTGATCATGGTCACCCAACCTCCACCGAACACCCGAACCAGTCACAGAATAGGGCAGGAGGCCTCTGTGATGCAAGACTCGTCTACAATTCTCTTCATGCCCTGGCACCTCTCTAACTCTCCGACCTGCTTACTCCCCAAACCACTATCCACTGGCTCCAGTCGACTGGCCCCAGCCTCCTACTTGCTCCTCTTTTCCTCCATTCCACCATCGGTGGTCGCGCTCTCAGCCACTATGCCCCCAAACTCTGGAACACTCTTCCTCTATCCCCCCTGCCTTGCCCCCTCCTTCCCCATTTTCAGGTCGCACCTGAAGACCTACAACCATACCTATGGTCGCCTCCCCCCCCCCTTCCTCCAGCTCGACGTCGTGCTGCAACACTGTCAGGCGCTCTGGGACACTACCCTGAGTGATGGGCGCTATATAAATGCAAGTTGTTTTTGGGTTATCTGATCAATTTGACATTGTAAATACTCATAAGAATTTCTAGAACGTGATGAGTTAAACGGAGTGATGAGTAACACATCTATCCTTATTAATATTTTGCAGGGGAAGCAGTGGATAATGATGGCATGACCATTTAAGTAATAGTGACGAGTTAAGACAGGATCAAGTTAACCAGAGTTTATGGTATCTCGCTTTCAAATGCCTGCCAGCTTCCCTCACATCAGGTCATCTTTGACGTCACTTCCTGCACCCAGAATTCAACCAGTTTTTAAGCAAAGATATTGGCTGTGTTTTTGTGTGAAAGCGCAGTGAATGTAGAAGCACTGACCAGCAATTACACCCTATTGCACGGCAAGTTGGGATATTATGAACATCAATTACCACACTATAATTGGGTTCTACGTCTAATGTATTCAGCTTTCGAAATGTTAGTGAGCTTGAACCTCTCCTCACCAAAGATGAGGACAAATATTTCAGCAGATGAATTCAAGACAGTGATTAAGTAGTGGTTATTACATTATTGTAATTATTAAGTGATTATGAAGTTGTGCTTAAAGCAAAAAGAATCGATGGACTTGAGAGAAAACCTGATGCTTAATAATGATAATCCTTGCATTTGATATAGCGCTTCTCACGTCAGGAGGACGTCCCAAAGCGCTTCACAGAACACACTGTAAAGTGAATTGACTGTATATTTGTGGGCGAACGCGGCAGCCGATTGCGCACAGCAATGTCCCACAAACAGTTGTGGATTGAAAATGACCAATTTATTATTGTTTTGTCTTGGAGGGATTATTATTAGGCGTGTGGAGTAAGGAAACTTGCCCAAGGTTTCACCCTGCCTGGAACTGAACCCAGGTCTCTTGCTTGCAAGGCAAGTTATCTAACCACTGAGCTACAGGACTCCACGCTTACATGAGGGAGAAGGGAATAGAGGGATCTAGAGGGATATGGAAGATGGGAATAATAGGGATGGGGATACATATATAGAGAGAGCATTCTTGTACTGATATTTGACTTGAGTTCCGTACCGGTCAGCTTCTGCACCATTCCTTCCATATAAAATATAAAGTCATTTCATTTTACAGTATATTCTGTGAAGGGCTTTCAGGCTTCTCAACAACGTGATAATGTGCCATGTCAAATGCAAGGATTATTATTATACAAAAAACAGCAGACTCCTCTTGTCTTGTATTGCCTTTAAATATAAACTGTCCACATTACACATATTTTAAAAAGCGATGCATCTTACTTGTTTTCACACTGTATTTTATAACATCTCGACAGCGTTGTAACAGGTGGGCATGGGGTTCTCCGGTGTCTCTCAACTCCAGATCAAGCCGTTTTTTCAACTCTTCGGGAGGCTGCCACTCGCAGACCTGCAAGGTACATACAGAGTTAAAGGTGTGGTGATCACAGAAAAGGTATGGTCACAAGATTGTGAGAGCAGCGCTTCCTTTGCTTAGAAATGGTAAAAAAGAATAACTTATGGCATCAACAATCTTTCCCTTTATCCATTCGTAAAGTTATTCATTGTTGTTCCTATTAGTTCCAGCAATTGAATTACATCACATTAGCACTTTGGTTCTCACACTACCCAATTTAGTTCATCTTCTTGCTAATAATCCATTCATACTGCTGTCATCTACAGTAGGATACAGTACTAAACAGGACGCAATTTTTCACTTGCAAAAACATTAAGTTAAGAAAGGAATGTTAGTTACCACCAGTAAAAAGCTCCAAAAATGGCATAGAATTTACACCAAATGGAAAGTATTCAGTGAGGCACTTCATGATGAGAGTTAAGAACATTATTTTCTTTCAGTAAGGTGTATTTTCATCCACTACTCCCTGAAACTCTGGAACTCTCTCCAACCATTCCTCCATCTTGCCCCCCCTCCTTCCCCATCTTCAAGTTGCGTTGAAACCTTCTTCCTCTTCGACCGTGCCTACAGTCACCTCACCCCAGTTTGGCATTGTGCTTCGCCACTGCCAAGCGCTCTTGGACTCTGCCTTACGTGAGGGGCGCTATAAAAATGCAAATTGTTGGTGGCGGTGGTGGTAGTGTTTGGGAACTGAAGATGACATCCCACAAATTTAAAACATTTGACTCTGTTAGTCACCTAGATTCACCTAGATTTCCCAATTCAAAGAACTTTACATATCTGGATATTGTCTAGTGAGGAAGCATGATTTCACCCAGAAAATATACAGTCAATTCCCTTTACAGTACATTCTGTGAAACGCTTTGAGACGTCTCGAAGACGTGATAAGGCGCTGTATTAAATGCAAGGATGATTATTATTATCATTCAGAAACACAATCATATACAATCTGTTAAGACTGTACCTTTTCATTGATGTCAGTAGCTTTCTTTATGGCCTCTTCCATGATGATAGGGAACGCATCTTCAACAAACTTCTCTCCTGTTTTTGCATCTAGAAGAGGTCCATTCAGAACCACACCATCCACCAGCACAGCACCCTTCTTCAGATAGTGGCTTTTTTTCAAGTCATCTACATTGGAAAATAACACAACTGATTGAGGATTCGGGCAGATAACAGACTGAAAAAAAATTAACTTCATCTTCTGTTACTTTTTCTTATCTATTTCATATCTCTTATTTTATGCATGTATCATTTTTCTTGATATACTGTACTTCATTCTGACTGGTGATGTTCGTTCATTCAGTCATAAAATCTCAAGCTGTTACATTTATAAAGAAGATTTCAGTCCATTGCAGTCTAACATTTTCTAGCTAATTCTCTGGAGACCTTTAATTTAGTCGAGGTAATGGAGATGATCGGATGCTTTAGGGGTATCAAGTAAATTACATTTTGCATCAGTTGATCTTGTAGCTTCATTGATTGTCATTCAAATTTTTGCCACAGCTTTGCAGTATATTATGAAAAATGAAAGTAAAAAGAGCCAAAAACGGAAGTGAAAAAATTCCCTCGAGTTGCTTTTATGTGCCTCTTTCAGAGTGGCATTGATAGTGACCTAGCAGCAAGTCATCCATCTATATTCCGATCTGGTAAATGAGAAGATGTATTTAAATGTGTTTAATTTATACATGGCAGACGTAGTTGAGATCAGGATGTTGGGACTCATTTAAAGGAAAAACTTAATATTATATGTAAAGCATTTTATGTTCAGAAAATAAAATAAGGACTAATGGGAATGGAGAAACATTGCAGCCTGTGCTTTATGTCTGCGCAAACATATTTTTCTGAAGTACAACAACCAGTCACATTCTGCAAAGTGACCTTCGCTTCAAAGCCTATTGCAGTATTTCCACCAAGAGCTTTGATCACAGCTTGAGATGAGACATATGCCAGGGATCAATGAAGAAATGAATGGATGCAAACAAAAAAGGCCAGTCCTTCTGCTCTTTTAGAGTTTTAATAATTTAGAGAAAAAATATACTCAAAATAAGCGTAGGATCATCAAGTAACTAAATTATAAAAAGTCACATTAGGAATCAACAATTGAGTTTAAATGGTATTCAATTATGCACATGCATATTAAATAAATTATTTTTTCAGCTAATGGAAAATTTTCATGTTGCTTTGCCTGAAAGAGCTATCCAACTGGTCCCACTCCCCCACTCTCATCCCATCGCCCTGCAAGTTTTTCCTTTTCAAATACCTATCCAATTCCCTTTTGAAAGCTACTACTGGATCTGCTTCCACCACCCTTTCAGGCAGTGCGTTCCGGATCATAACAACAAGTTCCTGATTTTAGTTACTTTTCACTTTTGGTTTTAAAATTATCCAACTTAGATGTATAGCTTTGAACATACTCTACTTTGTGCAGAATGGAACAAGTAGAAGTAATTATAGGGCAATGATTTCCTCAGTGTTTAGTCAGTCTCATTTATGTGAAGGTTTCTGGTTCTTACAATACACAGATATAATCAGACCAGATCAATTTAGCTGGGAAAATATGATCTGGAAATTGTTTACTAAACTAAAGGATATCAATAAGCTCATAGGGTACACTGACACACCAGTGAAATGCTGGCGAAACAGTGCATTGTTGGAGGTGCAGCCCTTCAGATGAGACATGAAACCAAAATCTCATCTGTTCAGGTGTACAATAAAGATCCTATGGCAGTATTCGACAAAAGAGCAGAGAATTTCTTCCAATGTCCTGTCCAACAGGACCCACAGATAAAATTGTTCATTCACTTCATGGCTGATTGGTTACAGATATAATCACAACACTTTACAGTAAAATTCTGTGAAGCGCTTTTAGACATTTTGACAAAGTGATAAAATGATGCATCAAATGCAAGGAATATTATAAATGGGCTAAAGTGTTTTTTTTCCACACAGTGACGATTGCACTATGCAGTACATTGAATGAATGGAGGCCAAAAGTGTATGCTAATTAGAAACCACCCAAAGGCAAAACTTGAATGTTTGAGCTGAACGAGTTCAAAGAAACATTTTGAGACCGATAAGCAAGTGCTGTGAAAGAGGTTCTTTAGTTCTACTACCGATTGAGTGGATTCCTGGACTCGGCGCAAACCTTGATATCTGAGCCCAAGAAAATCTTGTTGTACGGTACTTCCTTCACAGTAAAAGGAGAAAGAATTCTGGGAAGAACTCACAAGAGAATTCTACAGAAGCTTTTGCATTTGAAAAGGATGTGAGTCTTGATTGACTGACGGAACGAAGCAGAGGGTTGTTGTTTGGGGACCTGGGTCAAAATATGGGTGCCTCGAGGGTCTGGACTGTACTGAGATCCCTCCTTTTCCTTGTGTCTAAGGAAGTTAGATTTGCTGATGACTCCAAGTTAGGAGAGCGCTCTGAGATGCTACCCCATGTGAAGGGCACAATATAAATGTAACTATAGATCTTCAAAATGTAAGATCATGAGATTAGGATGGAGCAATAGGCACTGCGAATACAAACAGAATAGTATATGTTTACCTGATACAGCCCAGAAGGATCTGGTAATGTTCTGGTGGTATTAACTCTTTGAGACCTTCAGCATAGAAAATTTCAGCAGTATCAAGAGAACGCAACGTGTTATTAAGTATATAGATAAAGGGATGGAACTCAGGTCAGAGGATGTGATAATGGGATTTCGCGAAACATTGTGAACAAACTCGAAATCCCATTTGGAGTAATGTGTACAAATTTGGGATCTGAACTACAGTACAATCTGTCATACTAATCATTTATGTGTTGAATGGACCACCTAATCTGCAATAAAGTCATTCAGACGACAATAAATTCTACCTGGAAACTTACTCTGACTCTAATATGAATGGTTTTTCGACAAATTTCTTCTTGAACAAGGTAAAGCTAAGGACAGAAACAATTACTATTGTGGCGAAATCCCAAGTACGTGCACACACACCTTCAAGGTCATCACAGTTGAAAGCGCTCAGAATATATTTGCTGATTGGTAAGTAAAAATCAAAATCTCTTTTAAAATGTAAAGTGTTAATGGGTGCCCAGAGGATAATTAAAACATTTTTATATTTAAGTCTTTATGGAATGGCTTTATCTGAGTGGTTTTGTACTAGTAATTGTACTGGATTTTAACCTTGGAACCAGTATAAAGATGCAGCATTGTAACTGTATAAATTTGATTTTAGGGGCATCAATGTCCCCCCAAGACTCAGAGGATTAGAAGCAATGTCAGATTGCTCTGCTTTTTATTATCTGAATAAAAACTAACAAGAAATACTTTCATCTCTTATTTTGATAACTAAAATGGTTTTCAATTGGACTCTAAACTTAGAATGAACATTCTAATGTATTTATTTTTAATATACGAGTGTCTCAAGCTCTATGAGACGCTACCCTGGTAGAGGGCGCTATATAAGTGCAAGTTGTTGTTGTTTTGGACAGCCGGGTATCTGACACATGGTGAAACCCATTACCATATTTAAGGAGTATCCAAAGAAACTAAGTACAAAGGCGACGGTGGTCATTCTATATCAGATGAGGACACTGAGATAATTAAATCATGAGGTGCAGCCAAATACTGTCTGTTCAAAGCATCCTAGTTAACCCAAAACTAAAGCATTGGTAGATTAATTGAATATCATTACAGTGCCACAAACGGCAAATTATCTACATTTCAGAGTATTTGAATAATTATATCCTTTCACAGGGAAAAGCTGAGGAGAAAGTGCTCATTTTCATACTTTTTGTACAGTTGATAGTGTAAATATTTTGCACTAAAATTGTTGGCAATTGCAAAATTCTTGTACAAAAAATTGCATTTTTTGAAACCTTTGTGATATTTCAATGATGTGATAAGCAACTATAGCTGTGCACAATTGGCTGCCACATTTCGCCCACAAAATATACAGTCACTCCACATTACAATATATTCTGTGAAACTCTTTGAGATGTCTCGACAACCTGATAAAGTGCTGTATCAAATGCAATGATTATTATTTGTATTAAATGCAGCCAACTTGCAACAATGTCCCAAAAATTGCCAAGAAGAAAGATCATTTTTTCAATACAATCGGGGGGGGTTATTGGCCAGAACATTGGAGGAAACTGCCTTCACTTTGCAAACACCCTGCGTGTCAGCCTTCTCAACTCCTCCCTCCACAGACTGCAGATAACCCGGAACTCTGCAGCCCATGTCCACTCCCAGACCAAACACCGTGATCCCATCTCCCCCGACTCCACTGACTCCCTATCCTTCAGAGGATCCAGTTCAAGATCCTGGTCCTCACCTACAAAGCCCTCCATGGCCTCGCCCCACCCTACCTCTGTGACCTCCTCACCCCCTACCGACCCGCCTGTTCCTTCCGCTCAGCCGGCTCTGGCCTTCTCCACGTCCCCCGACCCACCAGCGGGAGAGCCTTCAGCCACTCTGCCCCCAACCTTTGGAATTCCATCCCCCAGTCACTCCGCTTCACTCCCTCCTTAGCCTCCTTCAAGTCCCACCTCAAAACCCTCCTCTTCCACCATGCCATCGGCCCCCCCCGCTTCCCCTCCCCTCCCTTGCCCCCCCAACCCCAGTTCAGGTCTGAAATGCTGTACTCTGTCCAGCGCCTTGGGACGTCCAGCCGACTTAAAAGGCACTATACAAATGTAATCTTGCTGTTGTTGTTGTAGTACACAGCTTGTGGAGGGAAGAGTTGGGAAGTCCAGTGAGCAGAGATTTGGCATAGTCTAGCCTGGACGTGATGAAGGTCTCAGCGGCTCGGGGAGAGAGGTAATGGCAGAGGCGGGTAATGTTGCATATGTGGGGGAAAGCTAAACTGGTCAAGGAACAGATGTGGGGTATAAAGGACAACTGAGAGTCGAACAAGACACCGAGGTTCCGCACTGGCTCCGTGAGATGAAGTGTGCATCCAGGTAGACTGATGCAGTCAGCGCCTGAGGCGAGATAACTTTCATAAAGGATGAATTTTATCAGGAATCTTTGGCCAGGATACTGGGAGAAGCTCCCTTCACTTTTCGAACAGTGCCATGGAATCTTTAACATCCGCTGGGCAGGCAGATGTTTAACATCTCATCTGAAGTTAGTCACCTCAGTGAAGCACAAGGCAGCACACCCCCACCCCAGCACAGCATTTGAGTGTCAGCCGAGACTATCCAAGGCTCAACATGGGGAGTGAACCCACAACATTGAGGTGAGAGTGCGACCGGGCTGTGAGCCAGGCCGACACCATGTTACCATACAAAAGAGACACAAATGCTGCTTCAGTCGTCAAGGAATTAAACAGGGTGCAATCTGTTTGGTTTCCAATGCAACAAGTTCTTCCAACATGTAATATGATTCTGATTAGATCACAACTAACCTTTGCAACATAAGCAAACTCGTCTTGGTTACACATTTTCCTAAGCCTTAATTATTCCTTTTCCAACGTACAGAGTAGAATCATTGCATTACCCATGATAAACATCATTATGAAATAACTGCCTTATCACATTGATAAAAAGTCTCAAAGTACTTCACAAAATATACTGTAAAGTGAATTGTGTATTTTGTGGGCAAAACACAGCAGCTAACTGCACACAGCAGTGTCCCACAAACAGTCGTGGATTGAGTGCCATTTCTTTTGGAGGGATTGTTACCCTCTGAAAAGACAAATCGACTAACAACCGGGTTCCTACTTACTGCTAGGGAAACAGGCATGTGGTTTAAGGAAATTTGTCTAAGGTTATTATTATTAGGAGGGATTGTGTAGGGTATGCAAATACATCTGGTTCTGATGATAGAATCATAAAATGAAACAAGAGTCTCATACCATTTACCTCCAGCTGATTTATTAAGTTTAAGAGCTATGAATTGAAACACTTAAAGCAGGATGGCCTCAGTGTACTACATTTAATAATATAAAATAATCTCTCCAGGAATAGTATCATTAGTCCTGGTAAAGCAGATAAAGTCAGAGTCCTCTTTGGACCATTTTCACAGCGTGTTTGAGGTTCCCCAAGATCAAAAACTTCTGCTGCCAAACTGGAGAAGGAAAATGCACTAATCCAAAACAAGGAAACCAATAACTCTAACCATTTGACTAATTCACCGTGTTGACATTTTACGAAGGATTTAAATAGCATCGTTTCTTCAAGGCCAGCCCAGACTTCCACAAAAGCAAGGTTCAATATATTCTGCACGTTAGTGTTCCCTTCCTTGCAGCAAGTGTAGCAGGACATGGCACTTAAACGTCTCATGTGCAGCGACATAATTTAACGGATTGGTAACAGGGGATCATGGCTTCCAATGTAAGAGACCTGCCTAGTATTTGAGGAAGTTTTTCTCCCCCCCCCCGTTAAAATTTCAGCAATTCACTGTGAATCCGCAACAGTATAAAAACCACATATTGGAACCGTCTGTAAATTGCTCGCTGCACTTTGCGAAGGGAAAAGAGGTTCGCTAAGGTTTTCTTCTTTTTTCTATCTATTATTAAGACAGTAATGTGTATATCTCTGCACTGATCTGGATGCAAATTCGAGTCGTACGTGAACACTGCAATTCAGAAACCCCCCCCCAAGACCACACGTAAGCTTTTCCAACACAAAACACATGCAGGAGCACAAGTTTCCACCTTGTGAGCATCTTTTGAGGATCGACTGTCCACACCGAGAGATAAATAATTAAAGAAGTGAATGACAGACAGACAGACAGACAGACTGACAGACTGACAGACTGAAAGGCAGTCTGGAAAATAAAAGTTCAAACTCATGAGATGCTTTGAAAAGAGGAATGGGCTGTTTTATCCATCTCTCTCTCTCTCTCTCTCTCTCGATAAATAAATACACACATATATATATATATATAAAAAACACACACACGAGAGAGAGAGAGTCCAGTTTGGAGAATTGCCGGTGACGGGGTTAAAAACGCCTGAGAAACCCCCCGCCACGAGGTTTATAAATAATAAAAATAATCCCCACCCCCAGCCCCCCACCCCCAGCCCCCAGCCCCAGCCCCCCAGCCCCCCAGCCCCCCAGCCCCAGCCCCCCAGCCCCAGCCCCCCAGCCCCAGCCCCCCAGCCCCCAGCCCCTGCCCCCCAGAGCCCCCCAGAGCCCCCCCAGAGCCCCAGCCCAGCCGCAGCACCCCAGCCGCAGCCCCTGCCCCCCAGAGCCCCCCACCCCCCCAGCCCCGCCCCCCCAGAGCCCCCACCCCCAGCCCCCCAGAGCCCCCCAGCCCCTGCCCCCAGCCCCCAGAGCCCCCCACCCCCAGCCCGAGCCCCCAGCCCCCCAGAGCCCCCCACCCCCAGCCCAGCCGCAGCACCCCAGCCGCAGCCCCTGCCCCCAGAGCCCCCCAGAGCCCCCACCCCCAGCCCCCGCCCCCCAGAGCCCCCCACCCCCAGCCCCCAGCCCCTGCCCCCGCACACCCGGAACCCACCCCGCACACCCGCAGCTTCCTTCACCCCAACGCACCCGAGTGTGTCCCGCTCAGGCTCTGCCCGTCCATCGCGCGGGAGCAGTCGCTGCTGCTGCTGTTGTTGTTGTTCGTGTCTCCCATCGCGGGATGGGGACGGGATGGGGACGGTGACGGGGATGGGATGGGGTCGGCAGTGGGGACTGCGGCCCCGACTCTGTCTCTCTGCGTCTCTCTCGGTTCCCGGCGCCGGTCTTCACTTCTCCATATAAAAGAGAAAGAGGGCGGAGGGGGCGGGGCCGGGGGTGGGGGGGGGGTCAGAGAGGGAGAGAGGGGGCGGGGACACTGTCACAGCCACACCGCCCTGACGTCAGAAAGGGCCACACACTCCTCTGTGTGGCATCAGCGCTTCAGTGGAGAAGTACTGAGAGCCACATGTGCGCAGATACTCTTATGGAAAAGTACTGAGAGCCACATGTGCACAGATACTCTTATGGAAAAGTACTGAGAGCCACATGTGCACAGATACTCTGTGGAAAAGTACTGAGAGCCACATGTGCACAGATACTCTTTGGAAAAGTACTGAGAGCCACATGTGCACAGATACTCTGTGGAAAAGTACTGAGAGCCACATGTGCACAGATACTCTATGGAAAAGTACTGAGAGCCACATGTGCACAGATACTCTTATGGAAAAGTACTGAGAGCCACATGTGCACAGATACTCTTATGGAAAAGTACTGAGGGCCACATGTGCACAGATACTCTTATGGAAAAGTACTGAGAGCCACATGTGCGCAGATACTCTTATGGAAAAGTACTGAGGGCCACATGTGCGCAGATACTCTTATGGAAAAGTACTGAGGGCCACATGTGCACAGATACTCTGTGGAAAAGTACTGAGAGCCACATGTGCACAGATACTCTGTGGAAAAGTACTGAGAGCCACATGTGCACAGATACTCTGTGGAAAAGTACTGAGAGCCACATGTGCACAGATACTCTGTGGAAAAGTACTGAGAGCCACATGTGCACAGATACTCTTTGGAAAAGTACTGAGAGCCACATGTGCACAGATACTCTTTGGAAAAGTACTGAGGGCCACATGTGCACAGATACTCTGTGGAAAAGTACTGAGAGCCACATGTGCACAGATACTCTGTGGAAAAGTACTGAGGGCCACATGTGCACAGATACTCTGTGGAAAAGTACTGAGAGCCACATGTGCACAGATACTCTGTGGAAAAGTACTGAGAGCCACATGTGCACAGATACTCTGTGGAAAAGTACTGAGAGCCACATGTGCACAGATACTCTTTGGAAAAGTACTGAGAGCCACATGTGCACAGATACTCTTTGGAAAAGTACTGAGAGCCACATGTGCACAGATACTCTGTGGAAAAGTACTGAGAGCCACATGTGCACAGATACTCTGTGGAAAAGTACTGAGAGCCACATGTGCACAGATACTCTGTGGAAAAGTACTGAGAGCCACATGTGCACAGATACTCTGTGGAAAAGTACTGAGAGCCACATGTGCACAGATACTCTGTGGAAAAGTACTGAGGGCCACATGTGCACAGATACTCTGTGGAAAAGTACTGAGGGCACATGTGCACAGATACTCTGTGGAAAAGTACTGAGAGCCACATGTGCACAGATACTCTGTGGAAAAGTACTGAGAGCCACATGTGCACAGATACTCTTTGGAAAAGTACTGAGAGCCACATGTGCACAGATACTCTATGGAAAAGTACTGAGAGCCACATGTGCACAGATACTCTTTGGAAAAGTACTGAGGGCCACATGTGCACAGATACTCTGTGGAAAAGTACTGAGAGCCACATGTGCACAGATACTCTGTGGAAAAGTACTGAGAGCCACATGTGCACAGATACTCTTTGGAAAAGTACTGAGAGCCACATGTGCACAGATACTCTGTGGAAAAGTACTGAGAGCCACATGTGCACAGATACTCTGTGGAAAAGTACTGAGGGCCACATGTGCACAGATACTCTATGGAGAAGTACTGAGAGCCACATGTGCACAGATACTCTTATGGAAAAGTACTGAGGGCCACATGTGCACAGATACTCTGTGGAAAAGTACTGAGAGCCACATGTGCACAGATACTCTGTGGAAAAGTACTGAGAGCCACATGTGCACAGATACTCTGTGGAAAAGTACTGAGAGCCACATGTGCACAGATACTCTGTGGAAAAGTACTGAGAGCCACATGTGCACAGATACTCTGTGGAAAAGTACTGAGAGCCACATGTGCACAGATACTCTTATGGAAAAGTACTGAGGGCCACATGTGCACAGATACTCTGTGGAAAAGTACTGAGAGCCACATGTGCACAGATACTCTTTGGAAAAGTACTGAGAGCCACATGTGCACAGATACTCTGTGGAAAAGTACTGAGAGCCACATGTGCACAGATACTCTGTGGAAAAGTACTGAGAGCCACATGTGCACAGATACTCTGTGGAAAAGTACTGAGAGCCACATGTGCACAGATACCCTGTGGAAAAGTACTGAGAGCCACATGTGCACAGATACTCTGTGGAAAAGTACTGAGGGCCACATGTGCACAGATACTCTGTGGAAAAGTACTGAGAGCCACATGTGCACAGATACTCTGTGGAAAAGTACTGAGAGCCACATGTGCACAGATACTCTGTGGAAAAGTACTGAGAGCCACATGTGCACAGATACTCTATGGAAAAGTACTGAGGGCCACATGTGCACAGATACTCTGTGGAAAAGTACTGAGAGCCACATGTGCACAGATACTCTTTGGAAAAGTACTGAGGCCACATGTGCACAGATACTCTGTGGAAAAGTACTGAGAGCCACATGTGCACAGATACTCTGTGGAAAAGTACTGAGAGCCACATGTGCACAGATACTCTGTGGAAAAGTACTGAGAGCCACATGTGCACAGATACTCTGTGGAAAAGTACTGAGCCACATGTGCACAGATACTCTGTGGAAAAGTACTGAGAGCCACACACAGATACTCTGTGGAAAAGTACTGAGAGCCACATGTGCACAGATACTCTGTGGAAAAGTACTGAGAGCCACATGTGCACAGATACTCTGTGGAAAAGTACTGAGAGCCACATGTGCACAGATACTCTGTGGAAAAGTACTGAGAGCCACATGTGCACAGATACTCTGTGGAAAAGTACTGAGAGCCACATGTGCACAGATACTCTGTGGAAAAGTACTGAGAGCCACATGTGCACAGATACTCTGTGGAAAAGTACTGAGGGCCACATGTGCACAGATACTCTGTGGAAAAGTACTGAGAGCCACATGTGCACAGATACTCTTTGGAAAAGTACTGAGAGCCACATGTGCACAGATACTCTGTGGAAAAGTACTGAGAGCCACATGTGCACAGATACTCTGTGGAAAAGTACTGAGAGCCACATGTGCACAGATACTCTGTGGAAAAGTACTGAGAGCCACATGTGCACAGATACTCTTATGGAAAAGTACTGAGGGCCACATGTGCACAGATACTCTGTGGATACTAGGCCTGAGATACCTGGATGGGCCACATGTGCACAGATACTCTGTGGAAAAGTACTGAGAGCCACATGTGCACAGATACTCTGTGGAAAAGTACTGAGAGGCCACATGTGCACAGATACTCTGTGGAAAAGTACTGAGAGCCACATGTGCACAGATACTCTGTGGAAAAGTACTGAGAGCCACATGTGCACAGATACTCTGTGGAAAAGTACTGAGAGCCACATGTGCACAGATACTCTGTGGAAAAGTACTGAGAGCCACATGTGCACAGATACTCTTTGGAAAAGTACTGAGAGCCACATGTGCACAGATACTCTGTGGAAAAGTACTGAGAGCCACATGTGCACAGATACTCTGTGGAAAAGTACTGAGAGCCACATGTGCACAGATACTCTGTGGAAAAGTACTGAGAGCCACATGTGCACAGATACTCTGTGGAAAAGTACTGAGGGCCACATGTGCACAGATACTCTGTGGAAAAGTACTGAGAGCCACATGTGCACAGATACTCTGTGGAAAAGTACTGAGAGCCACATGTGCACAGATACTCTGTGGAAAAGTACTGAGAGCCACATGTGCACAGATACTCTGTGGAAAAGTACTGAGAGCCACATGTGCACAGATACTCTTATGGAAAGTACTGAGGCCACATGTGCACAGATACTCTGTGGAAAAGTACTGAGAGCCACATGTGCACAGATACTCTGTGGAAAAGTACTGAGAGCCACATGTGCACAGATACTCTGTGGAAAAGTACTGAGAGCCACATGTGCACAGATACTCTGTGGAAAAGTACTGAGAGCCACATGTGCACAGATACTCTGTGGAAAAGTACTGAGAGCCACATGTGCACAGATACTCTGTGGAAAAGTACTGAGAGCCACATGTGCACAGATACTCTATGGAAAAGTACTGAGAGCCACATGTGCACAGATACTCTTATTGGAAAAGTACTGAGGAGCCACAAGTAAAGCCTTACAGAATGGAATTGACAGAAGTGATAGAACCATAGATATTTATGGCACAGAAGAAGGCCATTTAGCCCACAGTGTTTGTGCCGGCTCCCTCAAGAATAATCTTTTCAGTCCCATTTACCTGCCCTTTCCCCATACCCCTCCAGGTAACTCTCAACAACAACAAATCGTTTTCTGAAAGGAAATGTGCTAGTCCAAATACAAGGATTATTATTATTATTTA